TAGTGAAGATTGCTCCACCACCTACGTCGTCCAGGATAACGATACCTGTGACGGGATCAACTCGGCCCATAGCCTGAACTCGACCATCCTCTACCTCAACAACCCTCAAATCAACCAGGCTTGTGACAACATTTACATTGGAGAGGTCAGTATCACAGCCTTCACCAACCCATTTTTCATTTTTCACAATTCTTATTCCATATTCACTGCCATCAACATTTTTTGATCAACATCGAACGTGTTTCGCTGACTGCTGCTTCTATTTTGTATCATAGGTTTTGTGTGTCGCCCAAAACGTCCAGGTTCCTCCTGCTCCCGCAGGCGCGATTCCCGCGACCGCTATTCCTGCTACTGCAACCCCCGCCGTTCCCTCGGCCATCAAGACTCCCGCGGGAGCCCAGCCCACCAAGGCCCCCGTTGCTGCCGTTACCCACGCAGCTACTCCCACCCCCGCTCCCACTCACTCGGCCGACTCTTCCGACGGTACCGATTCCACTGATGATGAAGACCTCCCTTTCTGTGATGAGATCTAAATGACTCTTTCCTTCCATCCGTCATTCATTTCATGGACGTGAAATGATGTTCAAAGAGTGTTCTCTTCACGCGTCACATAATTCCGCTGCATACCTCCTTTTCCGACATATATACCATATTTCCTGCTTGTAAATTTCTCCCTCATTTCTTGGCGCGGCCTAGCCCTTATTCTGGGTACTGGTTCGTTGATGGAAACGTGGCTCCTTTCTGTTTTTTTTGGCCCACCAGTATATACCTCGACTGATATTCGCGGTGTAACTATGGATCTCTCCCCCTTTCTCTTATTGTCTATTATCCCGTTGCCCTACGTTGCACGTAGCGAGCTGGCACCACTGGCAACCGATCCCTCCCATCGTAATGCTAGTCTGCGCTTGAAGCGAGACACGACCTATATTCGGCTGCATGCTAGTTTGTGTAGCTTGTTTCCTGTTGTTGCCTAGTGCAGTGATATACACGGCTTGGTGTTTGAAGAGGAGTTTTGCCTAGTGTGTCTGTAAGCGCTTATAAGAAGATCTAATGAATGGAACCGCGAGATGAAGAGAATAAGTTCGGACGTGGCGTGGTGAGAAGCCGCGAGAACTCCACACCCAAGCGAGGGAAACTTCGACACTTTAAATGACGTTGTGGGGTGCAGGTGCAGGTGGTGTTAGGTCGCTGTTACACGGAAATACTTGATGTCCTTAAGAATACCAAGAGACAACTCCATGCGATGCTACGGCCTCCTCTGCGTCTACAAGAGCTGGTCCATCCTCGTCCCGCTTCCAGCAAAGATACCTTTGTGGAGTGGGCTCCGGTTGGCGGGAATGGAAGTACGCAACTTCTAGGCTTCGGCTTTTACTAAACCAGTCTTTGACCCAACTCCTCTGCGTGTCCACTCCGCTTTCATTGTCAAAGCAACCCCACCCTTTGACGGAGGTGGCAAAACCGGCGGTCCAGATGAACACCCTCAGGTTTGGAAGTTTGGGTATAAGTTCGAATTCTACAGAGAGTTCGACCTGGGGGGCAAGATGATTATAGACTTCATAACAATTCAGATGAGAGGAACGTGTCACTCACACCAGGTGATTTTCCGAAGAGACGTAGGACTTCGAGGGATGGGAGGTATGGTATGAGGAGATGAAAACTTGAACGGTCATAGTAACCGCCAAGGGAAAAGATGCGTATATTTGATAGCTCGGATATGATGGTACGAGGGATGGATACGCCATCCTCGCCCGAGGCTGGTATCCAAGTCAACTTAGTGACTGACCGCCCAGGGAGGATGCTCTCGATTGTACGACGATCGCCTGTGAGCGCCTCTAGATTGAGGCAACAGTCCTCGGGGAATGGCTCATTATTGTGGAACAAATCCCAAACGTATATTGATTTCAGATGGGGCTGGGTGGAAAGGAGATGCATTGTGTCTTTATATGTGATGGGATCTCCGCAAGACCTGTCGCATGCGAACACTTCAAGCCGTCGGAAGGGATACTCGGCTAGGTAGTCCGTGGTGGGGTGGGAACATGTAACAATGAGTCTTTTGAGGTTAGACATCAATTGGAGGCTTCGTGCGAAGAGTTTCCAATGGGCTTCGTTGTTGTAGTGATCTACATTGGTGAGACGGTGATAGAGACTATGGACGTGTTCTGCGAGTGCAGTGTTGTGTTCGGTAAGAGTTATAAGCAGTGTCTTGGCCCCATCAAAGTCTATGGTCCAGCCAGAACAGAAAGCAAATATGTCGTCGGTTATGTTGAGATTATGATATAGAGATCTTTGGGCTTCGTGTAGGAAAGAGGTGGAGACAAGGCAGAGGTTGTAAAGAGTAGTGCGATTATCCTTCGCCTGGTGAATAATGACATGAACAATTTCTTGAGGTAGTCGGCATCTGGAAAGATCCTGGGATGGCGGCATCAACAATCAGGGGATGGGGACTTAAACGTGCGTCTGGGCCAAATCTAGGCGGAAGGCTAAGTATGTTTCGTAAAGCAGTGTCAAGATGGATGATAGGGGTTTTCTCACGCTTCCCTGCTTCATGGATCATAATTTCGTTGACATCGGCTTCACATGAAATACCGTAGCGGCCTTTCATCGAAGCGCTCCGCTGTCAAACACACTATATATACCAGGCGCAATAACAGAACATGATCGGTATTTTCTGAACTCTCCATCCCGCACACAACTCGTTTGATGGTACCTTCATGAAACTCAAACGAGCAAACACGTCCTAGGAAAACCATGGGGTAAGCCCATGAGTTTCAACAGCCTCCTGAAAGTCAACGGAAGTAGGCTCACGCCCGTTTCGCTTCCAACAGAGATAGCAGGAGTCAGGAGTTATTTTGGAGTTGCCAGTCTGGAAATATGCCACATGCAACGACTTCATCTTCCGAAACCACCTGCCGACTATCTCTTGTTGTTTCTCCCGAGGCAACGGCTCATGTGCCCAGCTGATGCTTGTCGAGGAACTGCAAGACCAGACAAAAACACGGAGGCATGGAAGGTCCGGGATGTGATCAAATTCGTGCAAAATCTTGACCTGAATTAATGAGTCGTTGGTAGGTTACATAACAGTCGGAAGTGACATACATTCGGCGCTACCCCTATCAAGCGCAGAATCTGAAGGGATCGGAGATAGGGGACGAGGGAAATGAGGTTTGGTCGGACATGGTAACCCCCGAGGGAAAGAACGTGAATCCTGGACAGCCTAGAAGCAATGATATTCACACCGGGATCTTCCTCTCGCGCGGGCACCCAAGTGAGCTTTTTAATCGTGAACTCTCGACCAGGAAGCACCTGTTCGATAGTACAACGATCACCAGCGAGTGAGGTCAGGTTGCGGCAATGGGTTGTTGGGAAGGGTATATCAGGATCCCACGCCATGAAGAGTGATTTGATGTTAGGTTGAGTGGCGAGGAAGTCGAGGAAGGCGGTACGAAAGCTGGGATCGACGCACGGATGACTGCATTCGATATTCCGCAGCTGGAATGAAGTACAGCCTTCAAATATACAGGGGGGGATGCGACGATAAAGAGTTAGTTTCTTGAGGTTGTACATCAGAATGAGGCTCTTGTTCATGAGAGTCCAGTATTCACTGCAGGCTCCTTGTGGAATGACACAGTGGTACAAGATTTGGACGTGTCGTGCGAGAGCAGTGTTATATTGTGTGAGGGTTGAGAAGAGCTGGATAGCCTTCGCAACATCGACAGTGAGGGCTCTGGAGGGTCCTATCGCTGGGCGGCCATCGTTTGCGATGCGAAGCTCGTAGTATAAATGTCTTTGAGCTTCATGATGAAAAAATGGGGATGTGAGACAGAGGTTTAGAAGGCTGTTATGGTCGAATCTAGCATGGTAGACTACCAAATTGAGGATCTCTTGCGGCAGATTATTGGCAATATCTAAAGGCGCGGGGAGGTGCGACATTGGAGGATGCAAGGTGATGCATTGATGGCAAGTACTCGGCGTTCTTAGGACTCATCAAGTAAGGGTTCAAAGGGAATTCTCACACGAGCATTAAATATAAACATTGTTCATCTGGCTATTTAACTAGTCGCAATTACATCATATCACATAAAGCAACCCAAGGTGAAAAGTGATGATTAGATGGGCTATATATATCGGAGGAATCAGACTTGCTCCGGCGGCAAGTGGGCTAGTAGCACCACCCGAGTCATCTGCCACGGGCGATCCGAAATCATGCTTAAAGACAAGACGGAATACATACATCGAGACACTGTTGAGCTTCGAGGAGATAAAATGAGTTTCTCCTCCAGAATTAAAGGGAAAAGTCTTTGTGGAGACCCCCGCACCACCTGCCAGCAATCCCGAAATGGAGGTACATAAGCTTCACGCAACCAAATCCAGGAACCTTGGCGCGAATGGTGCGATCGGCACATTTGGTTAGAGTTAGTCAAAACATGCTGCCCCTAAAGCATAAGCCATATCTCGAAAGGGTGAGGAAGGGCAGAACAGCTGAGTCCTCTTTCAAAGTATACCATTTCCGCCACTGTAAGATTCGATCACGAATTGGGGGTGGACTCAGAAGGCAGGAAATGTGTGTCAGTCTCGCCATAAAATCGGACATTGAGATCCCAAGACATGGATGGTCTTTTCGTTGTTTTCAAGCAAGGTCTTAATACTCCCCTTTGGAAACCTGCTAGCGTGTTCAATGCCGTGTTCAGCTTGTTTCTCGAAATCTTCGTTTATGCCTCCTGTGACGATATATGAACCATTGAGATAAAACAAACAGCGAATTCTCGTGGCGGTACGAACAATCGGAATCAAGTGCAAAGACGGGTCTAAATTTGTGCTTCTAGAACGAGCGACAGAACATAGTGTCCCCTCACGCCAGCACAAGCTACAGTGCAGAGAGAAAAACCCAAACTTGACTATCAAATAAACCCTTAAAGATGGATGACAATTGGTTTATCATGGCAAAAGATTAGAGCTCTATTCAAAAATGAAAAAAATCTTTCATTTATTGAAAGGACTCATGCATTAAGAGGGAATCGAACCCCCGGCGGGTCGAACTCATCACTCGACGAGATTCGAGATTGGCAACGACCCAGGTTACCACTACCCCATTAATGCTTGTTGAGCATTCCGGTTCAGCCAGGCTCTGTTTGAAACCTGGAAATCAGGTAATCGGTTCAACCTTCTGAATATGCACCCACAAATCATAAAATAAATCATTAAGGTCATTAATACCAAACGAATACTCTATACACCACAAACGATCCTAATACTTCCTCCCGACAACACGTTCCGCGAGCACCTCTAGGGCATCTCTAGCCTCGCTCTCGGGGAACTCTTGGAGCACCTTCTTGGCCTCGTCTGCGTATTCTAATGCGAGTTGTTTCGTGCGTTGGATCGCGGATGATTTATGCACGAGGTTCCGAGCCTGATGTACAACGTGAGGAAGAATGAGAACGAGGACAAGATATAAAAAGACGCGGGAAAGACCTTTTCGACGTCGCCAGTTGATTCGAACTTGCGTCCTATGAGTTCACCCATCTCGGGATACTCTTCCCATGCGTAGAGGGCTGGTGCGGTTGCCAGTCCGAGTTGGAGGTCTGCATTGCCTGGTTTTCCGAGTGTGGCCGAGGCGGATTCATAGTCTAGTACGTCGTCTACGAGCTGTAACAAAGTTAAGTCAGATGGGGGCAACACAACAGAAAAAGAGGAAATGCATAGCAGTGATTGAGGAATGACGTACCTGGAAGGCAATACCTAGATTCCTCCCATAAGCGTACGCGGCCTCTTTCCATATTTCTCCTTCTGCACATCCGCCCAACACGACTGCGGAACGCGCGCCTTTAGCCATGAGCGACGCGGTCTTGAGGTAAGTCTTTTGTAGGTATATATTCCACGCGTCTTGATGTTTCGAACTTCTCCTACGGTCTGTGTCTGCCTTGACCTTAACAATGTCAGACGCGGATTCGGATTGTTGTTGTTGCACGGCATCTTTCATTTGTAGAATTTCTCCCTCGACGAGATTGGATATGACGCTTGCAATGAGTTGCGTCACTTCCTGGTCGCCTAATCGTGCGAGAGCGGCAGATGCGCGGCCCAGAACGAAATTCCCGCCGAGGACGGAGAGTTTGTCCGTGAATAGGGATGGAGCGGAGGGGGCACCGCGGCGAAGGGCGGACGCGTCTATTACGTCGTCATGTAACAACGATGCTGTATGCAGCATTTCTACAATCTGTGCAAGACGGAGTTGGGTGGGAAGGATGGTCGTGGGGGCGTGGAGCGTCGGTGGTGCAGGCTGGGTGTTTTGTAATGAAAGAGACGGTGGTCTTGCGTTGTGGGGGTAAGGTTTTCGATGGGAGCGTGAGCGGTCGGATGTCACGACAAATGGATCACGAAATGTACTTGTGTGGGCGGGGAATTGGGGATTGTAGTCCGTAAGGACGTCGGGTGGAGAGAGCGGGATGTCGAGTTCGTCCTGCCGGCCACCAGCGGCCGGGTGCGTCGACTCCCAGAATTTGAGGTTCCAGTTCTTGCCAAGACCATTTGTAGCCTGTGATAGAAGCAGCACGAGCAGAGGCCGGACTTGTTTGGAGGGGTGGTGGAAATAGTACTGAGTGATTTCAGTAAGCGCTGGATGGCCCGAGCCTAAGAGATCAAGAAGGTCTGTGCGTAGAGTCTTCAAGTGTGGCGCAAGGAGTGTGAAGGGATCTGGACGACGTTTTTCAGCGAGGGAGCTGAGTCTGCGGACAGGCAAAGCGCAGCGGAACATATTCAGCCATGCCGGAATTTTCAAAATCCACACTCCCCTTTCAACATTTCCCACGCTTCCTTTTCTGGTCATCTGTTTACCGCGTTTGGGCACCTGGCACTTGCGACGCGTATCCCGTGTTCCATCTCCATCACACCAGCGGCGGTGTTCTACGAAACTTGAACGAGTCACTTATTAGCCCGGCTCTAGCAATGTGTTTGGCGAAAGTGCTTGACGCATCTCCCCCGTTTTCTCTCCTCCCTCGGTGCGACTGGTTCTCGCACCCTGCAGCTGTGCTGCTTATCGTTGTCGTCGCTGGTATCGACTGATTTGATTCATTTTACTCATGTCTTCGCATCACGTTCCTCAAGACTCTATCGAATCTGTCGATTCGTACTATTCCAACTCGGAATCCAGCTTGGACCACTCGACAACACACCTTGTCCCTCCCGCTCACCACCAGTATGGTAGCTCTAGCGGCGGTAGTGGTAGCGGTAGCAACAGCGACAGTGACTGCACCCTCCCTGCTGCTTCATCAACTGAGAGCCTGGGATATGTCAGTGGTGATGAGAGTGAGTGAACTTTCGTTTCCACTGGAGATGGTTACTGACATCAGTTTCAGAACGTTATCCACCACACATGAATGATGAATATATCTATCCTCCTCTGTATGTTTTCATCACTTTCAATAGCGATTCCCCATCTTACTCGTTTCATATAGTCCCGAAAGTCCTGCTCCCGCATCCGCGACCCGTGCCCGAAGGAGATCTTTGTTCTTGGTTCCCCCACAGTCCATCCTCAAATCTCCCCGCCCCCCTCTCTCGCCTAGGTACCCCCACTCTCCTGGGGTCCCACCTTCCCCATCCTTACACCGCGGTCCCCCTCCATCCGCGTACCTCAAAAACCTCTCCATCCCGGCACCTGACTCACCCTACCTCAATTCTCCATACCTGCCCCCAGGGTCCCCTTACTCTCCCCGGGTAAACACCTCCAGAGCCTCCGTTGTATCGCTCAATACAGGTTGGATCAGGAGACAAAAAGTCAAACGTGGTGTAACACGCAAGGTCAAGCTTACCCATGGAAACTTCATCGCAGAGTATAAAGTCCCTACTGCAATCCTAAACGCTACCCAGGATGTATATAAATCCGGACCTGGAGGGGAAGAGTTCACGCATATGCGATATACAGCTGCTACGTGTGACCCGGATGATTTCACTTCAGAGAATGGGTGGTCTTTGCGTCAGACGTTACATTCCCCGCCGCGCGAGACGGATATGTTGATTGCGGTTACGTCGTACAATGAGGATAAGTTTTTGTATTCGCGGACTTTGCATGGTGTTATGCTTAATGTTCGTGATATGGTGAAGAGTAAATCTTCGAGGTATTGGCGGAAGGCGACGAATGTTGAGGAGGGGAAGCGTGGTTGGGAGAGGATCACACTCGCTCTTATTATAGATGGCTTGGAGGTTATGGATAAGACTGTTATGGATCTGCTGGCTACTGTTGGTGTATACCAGGATGGTGTTATGAAGAAGAAGGTTGATGGGAAGGACACGGTTGCTCATATTTTTGAGGTATATTCTCGTTCTTTCTTGGTTTTGATTTCGAGAAATGCTAATCGAAAAACAATAGTACACGACCCAGCTATCAGTGGACACCAAGCCGCAGCTCGTCCTCCCCCAAGTTAACGACGACCCGTCGAACCTAGTGCCTGTCCAGGTCATCCTTGTTATCAAAGCCAAGAACCAAAAGAAGATCAACTCCCATCGGTGGCTTTTCAACGCTATTGGCAGAATGCTCAACGTGCGCTTGTTTCCCTCACCTACCTACCGAACTCGACTCTAATACATTTCAATACAGCCGGATATCTGCGTGCTCATTGACGCGGGAACGAAGCCAGGCAAGAAGTCGCTTTATTACCTCTGGGAGGCATTCTACAACGATCCGAACCTGGGTGGATGCTGTGGTACGCTGGTTGCTCAACTCTTCTTCGAGACTTGTACTGATGGTGTGTCTAGGTGAGATTCATGCAATGTTGGATGGTGGAAAGAAGCTCCTCAATCCACTCGTCGCGGCGCAGAATTTCGAGTACAAGATGTCCAACATTCTTGGTAAGTTTTTACCCCACCCCGCTACAGTTTCGGTTCTAACGACAGCAAAAGACAAACCTCTAGAAAGTACATTTGGTTACGTCTCTGTCCTTCCAGGTGCATTCAGCGCCTACCGCTACCGGTACGCCTTCTCACCTTTGTCTCTCCAAGCGGCCACTAACTTCTCCCACTAAACAACACAGTGCAATCCTCGGCCGTCCTCTCGAACAATACTTCCACGGGGACCACTCCCTCGCTCTCCGCCTCGGAGACAAAGGTATAAACGGCATGTCAATCTTCACCAAAAACATGTTCCTAGCCGAAGACCGTATCCTGTGCTTCGAGCTCGTAGCGAAGAAGGGTGCAGCATGGACGTTGAGTTATGTGCAGCCTTCGAGGGCGGAGACGGATGTTCCGGAGACGATTGAGGAGTTGATTGGACAGAGGAGAAGGTGGTTGAATGGGAGTTTTGCGGCGAGTGTTTATGCTGTTGTTAATTTTTGGAGGGTTTTTGGGAGTGGGCATGGGGGGTTGAGGATTGTGCTTTTGTGTATTCAGGCTTTGGTGCGTGTTGCGTGTTTTTTTTATTTGTTTGTGATGGGAATGGGTGCTGATGGGTGGTTTGTTTAGTATAATGCGATGTCGTTGTTCTTTTCGTGGTTCGCTTTGGCGAATTTGTGGTTGACGTTTAGTATTATTATTGATTTGTTGCCTTCGCAAGGGGTTGTGTTTGGGAATGTCGTTGCTGTGAGTTTGGTGTTCTTAAATATGGTTCCATCGTCACACTCACATTTCCTCCTTCATAGATTCACTGGGTCAATGCGGCGCTCAAGTGGGCATATATGTGTTGCCTTGCTTTACAGGTTAGCTCATAGTTTGGATGCCCGATTTCAAACAACACTCACACCTAGTACAGTTCATCTTGGCTCTCGGTAACAGACCAAAATCTGAAAGGATCGCATATTCAGTCACGATGTGGGTGTACGCTGTGCTTGCGGTATACCTGCTCGTATGTTCATTATGGTTGACGAGTCTCTCGTTCGTGGTGCGTATTTCTTCTGTAGAATCAGATTGGCCCCTGTTGACTGAGTGGTGCGTGTAGAGTATCCCGAAGGCCCTCGCTGGGAAGCACACTGCTGGAGAGATCCTTTCTGCGATCTTAATGCCGCCTGTGGGCCCGTTGATGGCTGCTATGATTTCGACTTTCGGTATGTATCTTTTCGATTTTAGTTCTGAGGATTGGGGCCCTGATTTTTTGGAACTTGTAGGGATATACCTCATTGCGTCGATCATGTTCGGGGATCCATGGCACATGATACATTCGTTCTTCCCGTATCTCTGCCTTGCTCCAAGTTTCGTGAACATCTTGAACGTATACGCCTTCTGCAACCTCCACGATGTGAGTATTTCTCCACATGACATAAGTCCGTTTCATGCTAATTGTGCATGTATAGGTCTCCTGGGGTACAAAAGGGAGCGATAGATCCGAAGCACTCCCCTCTGTCAAATCCAAAACACCACTCGGGTCAGATGAGCCAACAGTCGAAGATACGACCAACACACAAGAAGACATTGATATGCTCTTCCAGGATACTGTGAAACGCGCGCTCTCACATACTCCCCCACCTCTCCCCTCCACGTCCCTATCCGCCTCTGCCGCTGCACAGAAAATGGATGATGATAATCGGACATTTAGAACGTGGTTAGTGGCGTCGTGGTTGTTTACTAATGGGGCTTTGGCGGTGTCGGTAGAGAATATTGGTGGGTGGCTGAATATTGATGAGAAGGGGATGAATGAGGATAAGATTAAGGCTTGGGAGGACCAGTATGGGCAGAAACGGAATACGTATTTTGCGTTTTTGTTGTATGCCACCTTTGGGTTGGCAATGGTTAGGTTTATTGGGGTGAGTGTTTTACTTCTGGGAGGTTTGCACGGTGTACTGACTGTGGTCTTCCCCCTCCTTCCTCCATGGATAGTTTATGTGGTACTGGTTGAAGAGGACTGTGTTTAGGTGTTGTAGGAGGAGTTGAGAAGTGTACCGTGTATACTTGCATTTATACCAATTTGGCGCTCTGTTGATCAGAGTGAGGAATCATAATAGCAAGGGAATTCAAACCTCCATGACTATGACTATAGGTTTCTGCCAGGGCACTAGGCTCTAGTGACGTTACGGTTGGCCTTCGATAGATTGTGGGCGACCGGTGGAGGGAAGGGCTTGAAGGAACTACCAGGCATCAATGGGGTAGTGGTAACCTGGGTCGTTGCCATACTTCGTGCATAATAATCGACCCGCCGGGGGTTCAATTCCCCCTTGATGCACTGGTCAATTGGTCCAAATGTTTTTGAACCATAACTATATTATACCCCTACAGGTAAACGGGGGGGGGGACTCATTTTATCGGAGGGTTGTAAATGTCGAAGGGCCCGCAGTCCTTTTTCCATAGTAGCAGCTCTGCATCTATTTGGGAGGCAAGTAATTTGACGCCGGCCTAAGGATCTGGTGGGTGGTGTTTTGAGACAAGGGTAATGACTGGGGCGCGCATTGCAATGAGCTCGTGTCTCAGTCCTACCTGATGAGCGTATGCATACATTCCCATCTTTACTGCTCCGTAAACAACAGTGAACACCCAGATTGACATGGTAGGCACGGTACCTCCTGAGATCATTATAGCGATATTTGATCTGATTATGCGTATATGTGTTTCTAGTTCGTCGGGGGAACATGATCTCCTGGCTTATCATACAAAGCGCATTAATGGGGTAGTGGTAACCTGGGTCGTTGCCATTCGAGTTCAAGCTCGACCCGCCGGGGGTTCGATTCCCCCTTAATGCATGACTGCGATATCGGTCTTTTTGCTGGAATTTATACTGTATCATGCTGTATCTCATGGAGAATCAATCTGTCTTTGAAATTGCAGCAGAAATCAATGTTGTGTCCCTGAGCGCCGAGCCCTCGCCTTGGGCGCTGACGCGGTCACGTGACTAGGTTGGAGTGCAGAAGCGGCGAAATTAAGCGTGTTCATCAAAGTGCAGCTGGATCTCTCCCGTTCTCCCCGTTCCTCTCCCAACCATGTCCGCCTTTCTAGACCAGTATGAGCCACTGGACATCATAGGAAATGGCTCCTTTGGTATCATACGCAAAGTCCGCCGGAAAGCAGACGGCATGGTGCGTACATACTCACCTAGCCCCGGGGAACCTTGTTCAAATACTGCCTGGTCCAGGTGTTTGCGAGAAAGGAGCTTAATTTCGAGAGAATGACGGAGAGGGACCGAAAGCAAATTGTTGCAGAAGTGTACGCTCCCCAGGTTTACTTCACAAACGCACACTCATGAACTAAACTTACCCTCGTGGTCTTTTCATTCGCGTTTTCATCCACGTAACAGGAACATTCTCAAAGAACTGCACCACGAACATATTGTACGATATCATGACCGTCATGTCGACCGCGATGCTGGAATCTTGTATATTCTCATGGAGTATTGTGGAGGAGGAGACCTTTCGACTGTGATCAAACAGTCTTCACGGACGAACAGGCCTATACCGGAGGACACGATTTGGAACTACTTTATGCAGATTTTGTTGGCGTTGCACCATTGTCATCATCCGAATGTACATGGGAGGAGTGGGAGTGGAGGAATGGGGTTGGTAGGTGATGAGCTAGGGAATGGGCTGGGTTCGGGTGTAAAGGAGAGACGGGCCCAGATTTTACATAGGGATTTGAAACCTGATAATGGTGGGCTTTTCGTATTCTTTCCTTTAATATGCGTATTTATGGGACGCGACAGTGTTTTTGGATGAGAGCAATACCGTGAAACTTGGGGACTTTGGATTGTCAAAGGCACTGGCGCAAAGTAGTTTTGCGAATACGTACGTTGGGGTACGCGTTTCTTGCTGTATTTCTTGAATGTATGCTAACAGTTTACTTCTAGACACCGTATTACATGTCCCCCGAGCTCATGCAGGAGAAGGCATACGATTCCAAGTCGGATATTTGGTCCCTTGGATGCCTGATTTACGAGCTCTGCGCACTTAAACCCCCTTTCCACGAAGCCAAGACTCACTCTGAATTGAGTATGTGTATTCGGTATGTTTGATCTTATCTGTCTCCGTGGATGACAGCATTGTTCTGATGGAAGCCTGAAGAAATGGTCGAATACCTCCGTTACCAAGGGGTTATTCCCAGTCCTTGTCCGCTGTAATTAAAGCCATGCTCAACCTCAACGTGAGTTTGCACATAACTTTCAAGTCCCCTCAAACTAATGGATTACCTTGAAAACGTAGCCCGCTATGCGACCCTCAGCTGCCCAACTCCTCCAACACGAACGATTAGAATTATCCTTCCGAGTCTCGGAGACGGACAAACTGTACGCCAATCATCCCATTGTTCGACTGACGGAGCTCATTCTATATTTAGATTATCCCAAGTAAAAAGCCACCGGGCCGCCGTACTCCAAAAGGAACGCGAAGTTCTCAGTCGAGAGGAAGCCCTGAATGCTATCCTTTCCGAAAAAGATACCGAGATTGCAAGACTACAAGCGCATATCATGCAGCATCCTCAGGTATCCCAACGCGATGTTGAACTCGCAATCAGACAAGCCGTTGCGCGTAGAGAAGAGGAACTGCGTGTCCTAATACGGAAGCGCGAAGAGGAGGTTGCGACTGCCATGACAAGAAGAGAGGAGGAGATTATGGAGGCTGTGAGAAGACGCGAGGCGGAAGTTTGTCAGGCTTGGTCTGCGCGTGAGGCGGAGATCAGGCAGGAAGTGGAAGTCAGCATTAAGGCTGTCCAGGAGCGCGTGGAGTGGATTGTGAGGAAGGAGGAAGAGTTGAAGGTCGAGGAGGAGAGAGTCGAGGAGATGAGAGAGGAGGTTGAAGAGAAGGTGAGAACCTGGGAGACTTCGCAGAAAGGTATGCTTGGTGTATATATTTACAATACCATCGACTAATACTCGGTTTCAGTTGGGAAGGTGCAAAAGGCACCACTGGAGGAGGTCAAGAATATACTTGAACCAATCACCCACATCACACTTGAAACGCCAATACAACGACACCGACAACACATCAACTTACACAATAGCCAAGTTACCCCAAAGGCAGACACGAGCAAACTCTTCCCGACGCTTCAGACACCCATAACGAGACCCAACTACACAGATACCCTACCCTCCGCCATGAAAGGTGTCGTCCTTACAGCAACAGGCGAAACACTTGCCACACCCTCACCTACAGAACTTGTAAAATTGTTCAAGCAGAATCCGAGAATCGGGCTCGGGTTCACAAAGATTCTGGAATCTGAATCCGACCCGAATGAGGTGGCGAGGGTGGATAGTGGGTTTAGAGATGAGAGAAGGTTGAGTACGGCTAGCACGGAATCGGATTTGGGTAGTCCGCCGCCGAGTCCGACTGCAAGGAAAGAGAGAGAATGGAGAGAAAAGGAGAAGGATAGAGCGGAGCTGTCCGATACGTGCTCATCAACGTCGTCTGGGTCTGGTTCCGGGACGTCGACAGCAACGGTGCAATTGTCGAATGGCTCACTTGCACCACCGACGAGATTGAGGAAACCCTCGATACGTGCTTCGACACAACGACCTTCAATAAAGAGATCTGCGTCAACTATCTCAGTCACAGCTTCTGCGTCGACTAAGCCTTTACCTTCGTCCTCTTCTTCCGCCCCCTCATCGACATCTACATCATCATCAAAATACCTTTCACGTACACAATCTACTTCAGCTGTAGCCACAGCAACGACGAAGGTTACACCTGTCCCCGTCCCCGCACCCAAAACGCATCCAGCACCAAAATACGACTTTACAGACGAAGAAAACCTTCCTAGCCCATTCCTGAAAAAGATTGATAAAGAGGGGAAAGTCTTTAGCAGACCATCTTCCTCTTCTACCACCACAACAACGTCGTCGTCATCGTCATCGTCATCGTCGTCATCATCATCCTCTGCTACCATAACTTCTCAGTCGACGACTACGACGATCGTAGGTTCGTCGTCAGTATCAGGGGGTACGGTGAGAGGGGGCACGACGAAGAAACGCCCATCGACGAGTGGGGGGAACTATCTAAGGACGGTGGCTATTACGAATATGGCTGGGAAGCGTGCGGCGAGTTCAATGGCTGTGTCGCCTTCGGCTCTACATAAACACTCGGCGAATAATGTGGGTGGGAGTGAGGATGAGAATGTGGGTGGGGAGGTAGTGAGGCCGACGTTGTTGAGTGCGCGGAAGGCGGGTGAGGAGGCGAGGAAGGCGCTTTCGCGGTCGTAGTTTTCTTTTGTTTTTTCGTGTTGAGTTGTTAGCTTTTGGTTGGTGTTTACCTTACTCTATGTTGTGATTTTTTTTTACTTCTCTTTGACACTTTACTCTTTACATTGTTTGCGTTCTCATATTCATGATTGTAATTTATCTTTTAAAGCACGTCGGAACATACAGTATCCCTTTCTTGTTACTGTACAGAATCAAAATCGTAAACAGAGACTGGGCGGTGAGGGCAAGTGTTTCGCACTTGATTTGGAATGTACGAGAGATAGTTTTGGCCATTAGGGAAAACTTTGGTTGCATTTTGAGCACGGATGCGCTGATATGTACAATTTGATTTGGACGCGCATCGAGATTGTCCTTAGAGAACAGGGAAAGGCCTGTTTTTTCATGGGCTCTGGCCGCATACCCTTTCCACCCCTTATCCCCCCATGTGCACGCCCAATTGCTTCAGTACTCGTGAGCTTGGGGAACATGGACAGCTCCTAAGTCAAGTCGCTTCCGAGTCTTTATAAGATAGGCTCCGAAAATGTTTTGAAAGGGCGAGGCCGGTGTTATACGCAAAACATACATACTTCACGTTGTTGGTACCAAGTGATTGTAATACTTTCTGGTTCACATTCACCATCCTCGTGCATCTCTTAGATACAAGATAGACATTCCACGAACCCAAACGTTTGAACCACGGGATTCTGGTCAAGCACATTTCACAATACTGAAATATCTATAAGGTACGTACGACGCTGTAGAACTGAACGGTCTTCCGACGTATTTTCAATCTCACCCGTGGTCTTGTCTTACCACCACATTGACCCGCCGTGGCTACTGGCTGGCACCTCCCCCCCAATTCACACACTACGTGCCAGGCCATATCTCCGAGAGGGCAAGTATTAGAGCACGCCACGGGTTTGTGCCCACCCGCTCCTGCAGCTTCCTTTTCAGTCCTCCTCCGGATCTTCGCTCCGTCAGGTAGGAGAGTCCACCACGGGCTTTTACCCTCGTTTTTTTTCATACTTCTTGTCAGTTTTATATTGTTCCTCATCCACACTTATTTC